AGAGCGAGATCGCGCGCATCGCGCCACAGTTGCGCACGATGTTCATCAAGCTAAAACCCACTTTGCATAATTTTCTCATTAAAGTGTTTTTTGTTTTGGTTGAAAAATGAAAGCGGAAGAAGATCTAAAACGAGGCAGCGTCATCCTCTTCGAGAAGTATAGCGCATTGCGCTGTCAGCTTAACTGGGTGGCAGCCGCTCAATTTGGCGATCGCTAGTCGCGAATGTCGGCGACTACGTTTTTACTGACTGCGGGTGAACATGCCATGTGAAAACGGCTGACACCATGCCCAATTTCGCATCTTCTTCCCGCAATCAACACTTGTAAAAAGTTGTTTTGGCAATGCCAGTTCATGAAGTTGACCATCGCTAGTCGAATAGTCAATTTCTAATACAAAAAGACAAAACGCTTGCGCTTGCGAGCAAAGGACGGCGCACCCCTAAAATATCTCCATACTTCATAAAAATTGACCGATTCAGTCGGCCAGTTCTTATAATGCTTATTAAGCACAATAAGGATCGGCCGATCGAGGGTGGGCGGTTGCGTTGCTGCGCCGCAGTCAAATTCCATTTTGCCCGGGGTCCCGTCCTCATCTTTCCACATGCGGACAACTTCTGAGAACTCTAAGATAACCTGAAGAAATAAAGCCAGTCAGATCGGAAGAAAAAAGCGCGGAAAGGCTGGGATAGAGCCGAATCGCGCTAAATCGGTACTCAACGGGGAGCCGCAATGCATCCTTATAAAGTATTCGCAGTCAAATACTTTAGCTGGGGTTGCATACTCATTTTTCCAGGACAATTGCTGCCGACTTTTAAAAACTTTGGCACAACCTAAAGAAAGAGCAAGTCAAAGCTTGAAGAAAAAAAGCGAAAGGTTGGGATATAGCCAAATTAGTATCTAACTGCGGCGCAGCAACGAAACCGCCGCGTACTCTCTACTGGTCGACCTTTATTGCGCTACAAGCGCTATAAGGATTGCCGTTGCTCATGGATTATAAAGGGTGGAGGACCATTTATCGCCAACCCATCCTCGCGGACTACTAATCCTTTTCAGGACAATCAATTCTTAATATTGACAATAGGGGAGCACTTTGATTAGACTGAATAAATTCATGATAGGCTGATACACTCGTTAGGATTTTCTACTAAGAAGATACCGGCGTTTTCTATTCTGTAAGGAACATGAAAGTGGAACAACTCCGCGAGGGCAGAGTCTAATGGCGGTAAGGGGTATCTCCATACTTCATAAGGATCGGCCGACTCTTATAACGCTTATAAACGCAATAAGAATCGTCCGATCGAGGGTGCACAGCGGTTGCGTTGCTGCGCCGCAGTCAAATTCCATTTTGCCTGGGGTCCCGTCCTCATCTTTCCACGTGCGGACAACTTCTGAGAACTCTAATATAACCTGAAGAAATAAAGCCAGTCAGATCGGAAGAAAAAAGCGCGGAAAGGCTGGGATAGAGCAGAATGGCGCTAAATCGGTACTCAACGGGGAGCCGCAATGCATCCTTATGAAGTATGGAGATACCCTTAAATGCAGTAATCGGTCGATCGAGCATGCGCGGTTATGTTGCGGCCCCTGTTGAGTACCGATTTGGCGCATTCGGCTCTGTCCCAGCCCTTCCATACTTTTCTTCCGAATTTGACTTGCTTTCTTTCTTCTGGTTGTGTTAGAGTTTTCAAAAGTAGTCAGCAACTGTGCCAAAAATATGAGTAAAGCCCAGCCAAATTATTTGACTGCGACGCAGTAACGCACTCTCATTCGACCGATTCTTATGGCATTTATGGCGTTAAAAAGGTCGGCCGATCTGGATCAGCCGATCCTTATGGAGTATGGAGATACCCAATAGTCCTCCACTCACTA